GTCCATCACCCAAGCTGAAGTCACTGAGGTAGTCAAGAAGCTTCTCGATGGCAAGGCACCGGGGGTGGATGAGATCCGCCCTGAGTACCTTAAGTCGCTGGATGTTGTTGGGCTGTCTTGGTTAACACACCTCTGCAACGTCGCATTGCAGTCGAGGACAGTGCCTCTGGACTGGCAGACCGGGGTGGTGGTCCCTCTTTTTAAGAAGGGGGACCGGAGGGTGTGTTCCAACTATAGGGGGATCACACTCCTCAGCCTCCCCGGGAAAGTCTATGCCAGGGTACTGGAGAGGAGAATTCGACCGATAGTCGAACCTCGGATTCAGAAGGAACAATGCGGTTTTTGTCCTGGCCGTGGAACACTGGACCAGCTCTATACCCTCTTCAGGGCAGTGGAGAGTTCATGGGAGTTTTCCCAACCAGTCCACATGTGTTTTGCAAATTTGGAGAGGCATTCGACTGCGTCCCTCGTGGCGCCCTGTGGGGGGTGCTCCAGGACTATGGGGTCCGGGGCCCTTTGCTAAAGGCTGTCCGGTCCCTGTACGACCGGAGCAGGAGCTTGGTTCGCATCGCCAGCAGTAAGTCAGACTTGTTTTCAGTGCGTGTTGGAATCCGGCAGGGCTGCCCTTTGTCACCGGTTCTGTTCATTATTTTTATGGACAGAATTTCTAGGCGCATCCAGGAGCCGAAGGGAGTCCGGTTTGGGGACCACAGGATCTCGTCTCTGCTTTTTGCAGACGACGTTGTCCTGTTGGCCCCATCAAACCAGGACCTCCAGCGTGCACTGGGGCAGTTTGCAGCCGAGTGTGAAGCGGCTGGGATGAGAATCAGCACCTCCAAATCCGAGGCCATGGTTCTCAGTAAGATTCATGTATTATATACATTATCATTCATCTTTTTCATGAAATTACATGACACTGTATTTACAACATTTCACATATTTGTTAGCACTGCAATCCTGAAGAGCATATTCAAACCTAACATTTTGAGAGTTAACAAAGTTGCCACCCGTCCTTTTCTTCTGCAGGCATCCGGCTGTCTGTGGCTTTCTCATCCTATATCTTGTAGGACGAGAAGGACTGGCAAGACTCTTGGTCCTTGGCTAAACAACACCGCCTGGGCCCTACAGAGGAGCTGCAGAAAGGCTGAGCAAAAATGGAAAAAAGACGGCTTGCACGTCTCTCTAGAGATTCTTAGAGGCAGCCTCCTCGCCTATCAGGAGGTTGTAAAAAAGGCTAAAACTCTATACTTAGCTAATATTATTAAAGATAACAGCCATAACCTTTTTAATATGATAAACTCCGTTATTA